TCCAATTTCCAGTCATTCCTTCTTATACCTTTACCATGAGTAGTCATGTAATTACATGCAATTATCAAATGACTCTTTCTTCTTAGTCCTCTACTCTTGTCAGTCAAACCACGCCACCCCTTTCTTAATAATTTATATTGTACAGCATCCCATTTGAGTAACACTTTCCTGAATCCTTTCAGCATACAAACCTCCCAATGTTTGAATATCGGCCTAAATAATCCCAGGTAATTTGTCTTCTCTACTGGCACTCTCTACCCTCCTCTTTCTTCAACCAAGGCTTGCAACCACTCTTGGCTGCTGCAGTGCAACACAAGTGCAGGCTCTGTTGGCACTCCTTAGGGGCCATGATTAGGGCATCCTCTTCTGCTCCAAAAATACAGCTATTCTCATTGTTTACATATCTATCTTGTCTGAAACAGTCTACTGTGTGGAGTACTCGGTTTCTTTTTCAAAGATATTATACAGACAGCAATCTGTGGTGCTCAACAGCACAACTCTTTCAAGAAGCAAAATTTTGAAAATATTTTGAAGCACTACAATTTTAAGGATTGATGTTAACTTACTCCTTCTTCAAGGTCATCCAGCTTGAAGAATGATGCCACTGTTAAACAGCAAGCATCTCGAGACAAAGATGTACCAAATTATACTGTAATTGTAATACAATTAAACCATTATGAAATTCTAAAATTAATAAAAGAATTTATCACTAATTTTGTATAGAATGCTACTAATAATTTGAGGTCACCAAACCAAAACCAGTTCATGTAACATTTTATTCACAAGTAGAAAAAGTATTACAAAATGATTTATACAAGATTTTAATTTACAGTCCTTAAAGGAGTATATAAAACAGCACTTTAAGTCCCTAGACATGATATATGGGGCAGTCTAAAAGCGGTGATAGTGTATGTTTTCTATTGGCATGTACAACATTGCTTGCCACAGGCAATATAAAAAAGACCAATTTGGTTAAATTAAAGAAAAAAAGTATATACATAATATACACATACATTTAAAAAACCTCTTCATTTTTTCCTTCCAATTTGCTCTCAAGCTTATCTGTCACTCATTTCAAGAAACGAGTCTTTTTCTCTAGACTTGCTGGACAAAACCAATTATACAAAGTGTAAATTCCAATGGGAAAACATACTTTCTGTGGCAGATGCTGGCAAAACTTTTGAACATAGCATTTTAGAGAACAGTTATTAGTGAAAAGTTAAATCTCCGTATGTTCTACAAATGTCTTGCCATATATTGAAATGCACATTGGATTTTTTTTCTATTTACAAAGTATATACAAAGAAGCACACATCTCTTCATGCACATGTAGTAAAAAATAATGTCTTGCCACTTCTTAAAGGTGTGAAAGTATCCAAAGTAATTATTCAAAACTACTTTTATTTTAATATACACTTTAAAATATTTAGCTGAGTAATTGTACTCTCTGTTTAACTGTATATTACTCTGTCAGTGACCAAATGGTGGTATTTACCACCACTTAAAAATAAAAAGTATATCATTTCTTCTCTTATTTGGTTTGAATTTGATAACTGTTATACATGGGTTTTGCACACATGAATAATCTCACTGGTTTGAACTGAAATATCTTACTGCCTTGGCTGTCTATACTGGTTTTAGCTATTCTTGTGCAGGTTCAACCTTCTACTGGGTGCTTGAAAGCAGAAGTCTTTTTCCATTATGGAATATGAATTCTGTCTCAACATTTCCATTGCCACACCAACCATGTGAAGAAAGATGAGTAATATTTATTGCAAATTTGCATTTGTTTTGCTGATTGCTTTGCTTTTGTCAAGGCACAGTGGTTATGTTGAAGAATAATTGCTAGAGTTCATCCCTGGCAGGTCTAAGCCTGTTGAATGCAATGAATCAGTAAAAGTTACTGGGATTACTCACAGAAGTGAAAACTATTTTAGGGACAAAAATGGCTGCAGAATAAATGGTATTATGAGACGTGGTACAAGAAACTGCAGCTAAAAAAGTCTTGACAGCAGTGAGGGCAGAGGGTTGATAATTTACTAGGCATGCACACAACTTGGATGATTCAATTCAGTGGAGTTTTGTAAAAAGTTATGAATTAATGTTGTGTGGAAAAACTGAATTTACACAATATTGCAGTGAGAAGGACAGAGTGACATGAATGAAAAGGCCTGCTAAATAAACAAATTAGGTCACCATGAAGCTTGACCCTTGAAAATAATGCATTACAAAAAATACTAATAATAGTCTCATTGTATGAATACTTTCATGGCACAGCTCCTATAGCTTGAGATTCTGATGTGACAGTTGATTACATTTATTTCAACATCCAAAAATTACATGCTATACAAGTGCTGTATTCCAGTACTGAGACTACCAATTAAACACAACATCCCTATCTATACGGCTGACGTTCATTAAACTAAAGCTAATTGAAAGCTAATCTCCTCCTACATTTAACAAAACAATGCCTCCTCCCACAGATGCGATAATTGGATGGAGGGGACTTCAACCATAGATACTGTAACATGCAACTTCTTTAACTCCCGCACTAGCTTACTGACTAGTATGTAATATATAATGAAAGCTTCGGTTTATCAATAGGTGATCCTTGCATAATTAGAAATGTTTAGTTTTTAAGTCCTTCAACAGCAGGAAACTGAGTTAAGGTTAGAACCAGCCAAAAAAATCTACATGCATGCATAAATCTGCAGCAGAATAACTGGCAATGTCTTGTCTCCCGCCTTCTGATGTCTGTAGCCATATTTAAGATACCCACCTAAACACATTTAGGTTTATATTTCTTGCTGTATTTGCACATACTTTTAAACTCACTCCATTAGACTTTTTGAGAATCTGAGGGAATAGAAGGTTCTTTTTTTTAAAAGAGATGCAAAAGGTCATAAATCCGCGATCATGGTTCTCCCAGGATGCTCCTTAAAGTTTCACTTTACAGCTATTACAGCTCAGATGCAACTGCTGATATCATTTCAGATGTGAAATGATGCCTTTTTTTCCAGCTGATTTTGAATCCATGCAGCATTGAAGACCAGACTATGTTTGATGTGAAACAGCAGAGGAGCATTAGGGAAGACTCAGCTATAGTGCTGAGAGAAACAGCTTCACTTCCTAAAAGAAAATGATAGAACGGTGGTTATATAAACTCATAAAAATGCTGTTTGTACTCTATACTTAACTAAATACTAAAAAAATACAGCTATACTTACTGCTTGCTGTAAAAATTCACCTAAAACTGAATACTGAATCTGTATTAAAATACCCACTTAACAACGTATGTGCACAGAGATAAAAATATGTGATCTTCTGATTTTGTTGCATTATTTATTTTTCAATATAGCAAAAATGTGGCCCTATGCAAGTCTGTAATGCATTCATATGTACTGAAAGACCATCATTCCCTTGAAGCATTTCAAAAAGACAAGAAAGATGAAAGGGAAATTGAAGAAAATGAGGAAGACTGAGATGAAATAATTTTTGTGGAGATGTACAGTTGGTGAGAGTTAAGCTTGAAAATACATCTCAGGTAAGCCTAGTCCTGAGCCTGTCCCTCAAATACTACTTAAATTTCTCCGTCAAAGATGCATATAAAACGAAGCAGTGCAGAGTACAAATAGGGACAAATTATACAAAATGATTCAGTAAACTCATTAAAGAAAAAAAAATGAAAACTAAACACCCAAAGCATCTTGCTTATTCAGAATTATCCACAAATCTCAACAGTAATACAACAACAATACAAACCGATCAAGGAATATAGGATTTTGAGATGTCAGAAAAGATTTCTACACATCCATATGAATCAGTAAGAAAACTTACAATTTAAAGACTGCAACAAATATGGTGAAATGTTAATTTTTATAGTGATAGTCTGAAATTCTGTGGTTCTTTTAATTTAGAAAAACTGAATAATATTAATCACATATCTCTTAAGTTGATTGTTGGACTAGTGGGCAAAAAGCCCCACAAATGAATTTCTGATTTTCACAAATCTTGTTAATATGGAAATATATTCCCTTAGAACATTAAGAGAGCATTCAATTTCCATTGGTAAGTGTTGTCAAACAGAGAACTAGCAGCGTCAAGATTTGCCATTACAGCCATGTCTATATATCCCTAGAGAATCCTAATGGTATTTGGCATCTACAAAAATGAAACTATGCCAATTGCTATCTGACACATGGGCGGTTAGTGCCAGATATTGTTACACACAAAACTATATATTGTAAATAATACATTGAGAAAAATATGTGCAACCTAGATATGGTTGATATTTTCAGTGGCAGCAGTAGACTTTCAGGGTGATATACAAGTTCCATTGAAGTCAAGGGCAAAAACATTCTTGACTCAAGAGTCCATTTACCTCCTTTTCCTCCTCTTGAAAATACCTGAAGAATTATGGCTTGATTTACAAAGAATTAACTATTATGCTTACATGTTTTCACATTATACCTTTTTTTGTTAAAACCTAATTTATTTGTATAAATTAGTCATCATAAATTGGTCATTAGTCATAAGTTAGCTGGGATGCCATCCAGAGGAACCTGAGCAAGTTGGAGAGGTGGGCCCATGTGAACTTCATGAGGTTCAACAAGGCCAAGTGCAAGGCCTGCACCTGGGTAGGACCAATCCTCATTATCAATACAGGCTGAGGGATGATGCAATAGAGAGCAGCCTTAAAGAAAAGGACTTTCGGATACTGGTGGACAAAATCCTGATGAAAGCTGACTAGTGTACAGACTTACCCCCATATTCTGGTTCACAATATCTAAACATTACAGTTTGAGTAATTACACCTTTCACATTCAGTCAGTGACTTTAAAATGTGAAACTGTTGGATCTCTTGCAGAGTTTTAATTTATTTCAGCAGTAGCTAGGAGTAACCTATGGAGAAACATAACCCTACAACTTGTTACAATTCTATTTTTATCTAGTTCTGCATGCCTTGTGTCCTCATTCTCACGTCATTGTAGTTATGTTCTTTACCTCTTTATCAGTCTGTAGAGCCATTATGCTTTGTCTTCGGCTGGGTTTCAGCAGCTGCTGGGTTCTGAAGTGATGAAACTTCTACATGTGTTCTATGTTTGGAGATTTCAAAGGACTTTGCCATGTTTCCATCAAGAGACCTAGCTGAAATAAGTACTTCACTTAAATCCTGGTTATTATCCGACTCAACAGTGGCTGCATTTTCAGTCTCAGGATTGCAAGATTTTGCAGATCCTCCAGCCAGTTCTGCATATGATTCACAGAAAGAAATGCTGTCACAACAAGCTGAGTTTTGCATAAGAGGCCAAGCATCTGAAATGTCTCCACAGTTAGTGTGTGAAAGAGAACCAAGAAAGGTAGGAATCATTTCTCCAACAGAATCAGAAGCCCTGCAAAAAGATTAAAAAAACCACATGGTTTCAGAAGCATTCCAGAAAATATTATCAGTATTATAATTATTGTCATTAATAATTATATGTATTTCAAGAAGGTTTAAAGGATTATATTAAGTTCATAGTCTAGAGGCACCCTGTACAATCAAATTCTTTTGAAAAGTAATACAGTTTGTTCCTCTCTCATCTGGAAATGAAGAAAGGTCTGGAGAACACTACTAAAGGTAAAGAGGATGCCTAGGGCCCTTCACACTGTGAATTCAGGGTTTTAGAAAACATGAACTACAGTTGCAGTTGTTTATAGTCTAAAGAATAGAAATATGATAAAAACCACTATAGTAATGTTCAGACACAAAGACTGTTTCAAAGAGAAGGAATTTATTTGTTCTCAATGCATGGCAGAGCGGGTGTTAAGATATAACAAGCCCATATCGTAGCAAGAAAGATATTTGGGAAGACTGTGGAATCTCCAATACTAAGGAATTGGTTTTTTTAAAAAAACAACCCATGCTAGACAAATGTCTAATGGAAATAAAAGAAGTCAAATGGGTTCGGACTGCGAAAAAGGAATAGACAACAAGACTGCTTGAAACTCTTTCTATCTGCACGATTTCATATTGAACACGCAATCACTTTAGATTCTCAGTTTGTTCTGTCTAGCCTTCAAAATGTGAGAAGTTTTTCTTGTATTCTCTTTCATGTCGAAATGGCAGAATATTAATGAAGGGCAAGGATTTTTAATTCTCACAAGGATTATTTTTATTTTGTGGAAAACAGAAGAAAGTGGAATTAGAAATTCGATATTATCTCAAATGTACTTAAGGTACATGATGATACTGACATGTTTATCTCTGTTGAAAGCCTGGAAATATTTTGGTATACTGTAGTAAAAAAGCCAAGTATTAACAAAACCAAAAGGATATACATTTTATTTCCAAAAATTGTTTACAGATTTATAAAACTGTCAAAGCTACACTATGTAGCTTTTTACAGTAATAATTTGTGTGACAAAACTCATCCCACAATAACATTGCCTATAACAGACTTTAAGTAGCCTTATTCATTTCCAAAACATTATGCTTTAATAGCTTTGATATACACACAAAGCACTTTTATAGTCGAGGCCAAAAGTCAGGACATTGCACCACAATTGAAGGAAATACATTATTTTGGCTAAGGAAATGGAAGCAAACCTGATTTCTACTGGAAGGAACCACAGGAGCTTTGATGTCCACATAGCATGGATATGACATTTATTTTTAAAGCTTTAACCAAAATATCCCTCACAAAGTACACAACTCTCAATTTGTCAGCCTTGGTGGTATAAAAGGATAACTCAAGCATGCTGGTATTTAAACAAGTTATTACAGAAAATTTAGGTATTTTGTATCTTGCACTTAGGTCACTAAGTCACCTTCAAAAACAACACCTATGAAGAGGCTGCCTCTGTATTTTTAGTTACATTTGGCCATAAGAACAAAACAGCTAGAGACCAATTTAATCCTTATATGGAAAACAATTATAGTGAAAAGAAATAAATACATCCTGTGTTAAAATCTGTAACCAGGAAACTCTGAATGATGCCATAAGTTTTACATTTTTAGCTCATGGCACTGCTGTAGAAATAACTACTCTATTACTGTATTTATATTCAGCTGATCAGGAGAAACTAATCATTACAATCTGGTAGAAATTAAGAAATACAAGATACTACAAATCTCATTGTCGTTAAGAGCTTCTAAAAAAAAAAAATCTTCATGATACTTCTAAACTGTACCTTAATCCCCCTAGACTCATAGGTTTATGCAGCACCTTGCTCACCCAACAGCAGAAGGAGGAGTCACCAAAACCTCTAAGGTACCGTATCTGCTTGTGAGGAAATAAATCACTCCTTTGTCAGAGAAGCAGATACATCATGTCAGCATTTATTAAGTAATACTTAAAATGGATTTTTCACCATAAACCTCTTTTTGCACAAAACAGGAGTATATGGCTATAGTTCATCAAAATCCCTCGTTCCACTCCAAACAGCTATTGTATCTGTATAAATATTAACGTGACTGCATAAGAAATATATAATGTTTAATAGGCATTTATAAAATTAAGTTACCTTTCATTAAGTGTAGTTTGAGAGTGGAAAGCACAACTGTGACTGCTGTGGTCCATGCTACAGGTTTCATCACAGCACAGTGATGGAATCAAGTGAACTGGTCCTAAGGAATGAAAATTAATTTAATAATGTTAAAAGTGTCAAAGCTCTGCATAAACTTAGCCTCTTCACTCTTTCAAATTTAAGGATTAAGTTTGCCAGTTACATTATAATACATGGATTAAGAGATTTTTTACCGCAAAGAATGAGTTCTTTAATTTATTACTTTAAAATGGAATTACTTACAAAGGCCAAACTGCTTCACCAGGAGTAATCCAGATGCCAGTCACGAACATTTTTAAATTAATTTACTTTTCAATTAGATACCATGTGAGATGGTATCACATTTGGAGTTAACGTATTAGGATGGTATTTGAGCCTGTCCTTTTGTGTTAAAATGATGTATTTGTTAACATCATAAATGCATCTGTTCTGATAATACTTCAAAAAATCTCAATGATTTGAACTGCTTGAGTTTTCAACGGCCTTTACAGCTCCTATCATGTTTTAGATACTGTCTGGTAAATCCTTCAGACCAATTTAAGTCTCAAAGTCACATGCACTACTATTTTTATCAGAAAGAAGTGAGATAGACATTTAGAGCTATTTTTAAGTGAAGGGTCATTGGAATGAGAACAGAAGAAAAAATCATAAGCAAACAGCTACTTAGAAATCCCATGTGCTTATCGAGAAATTAGCCTAGGACAAAAAGGCGAATTTGACAATGTTAGCTCTGTAGTTAGTTAAATGTCACAACTCAAGTGTAAGATACATGTTCATCATGCCACAAAGTCACTTTCAAGTAGACCTAACATACCACATGTCTGTGATGTGCTTCTCTGGCACTGGCAACAAGTTCTGTGGTCATATTCATTTAGCCGTGGTCTATCAAAACATGACAATTCAGAGCCATTGTAGTGAATGTCTTGTGATCTCAGAGACCCTTTGGACAAAATGAATTTAAATATATATTAGTAAATTATGCTCTTTTTTCCTGCTCAGAGCCTCCTATCTTCATAGAATGCTGAAATGTCACACTATACAGTATTTCCATACCTTTTCCAACTGAAAGATCCGTAATGATCATGTGGTTTCATATAACGCAAACCACAGACATTGCAACAAACCCTAGAACTGCTGGTTCAACTACAGCCTCTTCTAGGAAGACATCTGCTCTTTTGATAATGATTTGAGAGCACATCTTATTCAACATTACATTTTCTCAGTGTTGCACAGCATTTTCTCAGTAGAAGCTGGAACATCCACACAGAGCTGGCAAACAGATATGGATATACAGTCTTGGGCTTTTGCTAGCTTGTTCATCTCAATGCTAAACTTGCTTGAATGCTGCACAAGTTTCATTTATTTATCTACAGGGCGAATTGCCAAGCTAATACAAGTATATAAGTATTACAAAGAAACAGTAATAACTGGAAACTTACAACTTGGTTTCTTCTCCATAAACTGCCTCTTGCAATAGATAACACAAAGAATAAGAAGAGCTAAGAGCACTGTTGCAAGTGCACTGCATATAACAGCTGCTAGAGCAGTATCTCGAGGACTGGAAGCAGTTGATGGGATCTTCACAAGGTTTACTTTGGTGGTACCTGAAATAAAATTAAATAAGAATTAAGGCAAAACATTTCAGGAGTATACAGTCATTTAAATGAAAGTTTGGGAAATAGAAGAGGTTCATAGCACAGAAAAAAAAGAACGTTCCACCTGCTAACTCATAAACATTAGTTGCACATATAGATAGATTATCAGCAACGACATTACCAAAAAAACCTGTTAAAAATATATGGCAAAATGAGTGGTAATGAGCAGAGATGCACACTGTCTGTCCATGAGAATGGAATCAGATCTTCATCATGAAAACAAAGACCTCGCAATTTTTAATGATGTCAGATGATTTTAATATGGAGAACATTTCCTAGTGTATAGTTGAGAAAGTCATCCACTAGAGGGAGTCACAAATAGATGAACTTCTCTTAATAAGGAAATTGAGAGCTGTGACATCCACAAAAGTTCAAATGCTGTCAAAGGTACTATTTTACTTGGTTGCATATGCCATGATCATTTCTAGGATCAAACCTAGGATTTCAACTGTGCTTTTTAAATTCAGTGATAGTTTTTTAATACAAACAATATCTCTAGTAAAAACTCAGCAGATTAGTGAAAAGACTTAAGCAATGTTTCTAGCTTTGACAAACATTGTTACTTTCCCATGGAAAAAGTATGAAACTACAAGTATTGAAACTAACTTAAATTACAAATGGTCTTTTAAAATTAAATTCATAGGATCATTTAGGTTGGAAAAGACCCTTGAAATCACTGAGTCAAACTGTTAACCTAACACTGCCAAGTCCACCACTAAACCATGTCCCTAAGCACGACATCTACAGTCTTTTAAACACCTCCAGGGACGATGACTCAATCACTTCCCTGGGCAGCCTGCTCCAGTGCTCAACAACTCTTTCAGTGAAGAAATTTTTCCTAATATCCAATCTAAACCTCCCCTGGTGCAACTTGAGGCCATTCCCTCTGATGCTACTACTTGTCACTGGTGAAAAATGACCACGACCTACCCCACTACAACCTCCTTTCAGGTAGTCATAGAGAGCAGAAAGGTCTCCCCTAAGCCACTCCTCATAAAACTTGTGCTCTGGACCCTTCACCAGCTTCGTTGCCCTTCTTTGGATGTTCTTCTTTTCGGATATAAAATGCATTTTAAAGAACTTATGAATTCTAATATGCATCTATTTCAATCTATTTTGAAGTTCACATCAATTCAACAATATTTTATGAGAAAAGGAATAAAACATTGAGTATTTCTCTGACAGCAAATTTTAAAGAAACCACAAACCATATTTTATTAACTTATAAAAATAAATTAAATGTGCCTATTTTGCCCTGAAAATCTTTGGTTAAAACCTAAAGACTATAATTCCTAAGAAATAGTCCACGCAGTCTTAAGTTTAAATTGGGACATAAATGTCTGTCAGAGTATATTAAAATCACTACTCATAATTACTTGATACCCTAGCTGCGATATAATAATAGCAGGAGAGAATGAACTCACTAGCTTAGTTTGTGCAATCAGTGGATTTGTATTAATCAGGAATACTTTTTTCAAACAGTTATGGTATTTCCTCTACATACATAAAAAGTGGCCAGCAAAGTGTTTACAACATCATATTGTCTTTTTATAATGGGTAGATTGCCAAAAAAGCTAGGTATACTTAAAATCAATGTTATTACATCTGATCCTAAGTTTTCAGACCACTTACACCAAAGAAAATATTAATGTTTAAGAAATAAAGAATCCAAAATTTAAAAAATAAGACACAACTTAATAAATACAGTTTCTGTAGATCATAGTATCATGTAGTTACTTGTAAATAGAGGAATATAAAAAAGTGGAGAGGTCAGATCATGGCTGTTATTCAGAAGAAAGAATCTTTAGTTGTTAATTACCTGACTTTGATGTGAAGAAAAACAAGTGTTACTGCATTTACATCTGCTTAAATATTTCTATTTACCTTTGATTTGTACTATCATGTTCCACTGTTACATTAAAAGTGTAGAAAGCAAATACATAGCAGATCTTTTTTATGTACTTTAAATTGCTAAATTTGACTGAATGGAGCTACTGGCGAGAGTCCAGTGAAGTGCCAAAAAATGTGGAACTGGAGCCTCTTTCATATGAAGAAAGGCTGAGAGAGCCGAGACTGCTCAGCTTGGAGAAGAGAAGGCTCCAGGGGGTATCTCATCAATGTGCATAAATCCTTGAAGGCAGGGTGCAAAGAGGACAGAGCCAGGCTCTTTTCAGTGGAAAAGCTGCAATGGGAACAAACTGAAATACAGGAGGTTCCCTCTGAACATCAGGAACACTTTCTTAACTGTGAGGGTGACTGACCATTGATAGAGACTGACCAGAGTAGTGGTGGCATCTCTCATCTTGGAGATGCTTAAAAGCCATCTGGACATGGTCCTGGGCAACCAGTTCCAGGTGACTCCACTTGTGCAGGAGTTGAACCACATGATCTCCATAGGTCCCTTGCTACCTCAATCGGTCTGTGATTCTGAGTTATTAAAATACAGCAGATCTCAAAACTCACGTCAATAAAGAGGTTGAAGTCTCCTACATGAACTAGAAACACATTTTGAAACTCTGTCCCTGTACTGAAATGTTATCATTTTCATTACCATAGCAAATGGTCTATCTATTATTTGTGTTCCAGAAAAGAGAATAAAAATCCAATTCAGGGTCTCAGGTACTTTTCCTCTTAAATAATTACAACTAGTCCTTCTCTTTATGTTTTTCTATAATTCCTATTACTCACAGAGCTAAGTTCTACTGCCTGTTTTCTAGATCTTCATTGTTATTTAAAAGAAAAGCAACCAGTGTCATAATCTCTTTGTCATAACATCAATGCTCTTGGCAGCAGCATCGCCATCTTCCACACAGAAAACTTCTCTCTCAGTTTCTAGGATTCTTGTAGCTGTAGTTCTAAGTTTACAATTTGTGCATGGTATGTAAAGTTCCAGGAAACAATTCTGTGAGAAGCAGTAAAATTATATTTAAAAAAATAATTAAAATTATATTAAAAATAGCTAGCTATCCAGCAACATGTGCTTGGTGAAAACTAAGGACTGTGCTTTGATATTGGGTTTTCAGTTTTAGTCAGCTGCTTGATCTAGTCTTCAGAAGGTTAAATACGGCCTGGACAAGTATTTAAGAACAAGACAATAAAAAACTGATCAGAATATCTTCAATTATTTTTCATATCTATCTCTCTCAATACCCATATCAATGTACCTACCTAAAAGTACTAACCAGTTCTTAGAAATCAGGCCTTCATAATTAGGAGGAAAAAGAACTGTTAATTTTGAAAGCAAAAATAGAACAAGAGCACTGGAGGTGGAGTTGCTATTTTTTTCTCTCTTCATTTGCTCACAGAATGTATCTATTTGCAAGTATAATTACATATTCTGGGAAATTATAAATTACAAGTATTTTTTGGGGGCTCGTTAGCAACATCCAAACTGGAAATATAGTGATTTTATTTTACACTGGGATTGCAAAAAATGAAATTTGTTTCAGCCATATATTTATTTAAGATATACTTTATTTGGTTGTTTTGTTTAGGTGTTTTTCTCACTTGAGAAAGCAATTTTTTATTCCTGAGAACGCTTACAACTCATCTTCACCTTCAAAGAACTTTTAGGAATAGCTACCGTGAGCAGTCCATTGTAGTGTAGCTCTAATTATGATAGTGATCTTCTCTGCAGAGATCAACATTTCAGAAGTGGATTGCTATTGCAGAAGTGGCCCGTTGGGCATTGCTGAACTCTGCATTCAGTACTACTCAGATATGTATGCATTTTCATAAACTCTTTCTTTTCAGGCTCACAGACTTAATGGTCCCATGTCAGTAAAGCAAGGAGGTGCATTTTAAACTTTAAACTTGTACTTGTATTTATTAAATGATTACATTATTAAATTTAAATATGTAATTAAACACTTTGTGAACTGGACGTGATACATATAGAAAGAACGGAGGAGGTGCACACTGTTTTATGATTTTGGAAAGCATGTGCATATTATGCATCACAAAAAGAACACAAAAAAGGTATTTTATTTAAGAAATAGGTTTCCTTTTCTAAGTCTTAGTTCCAGCATATTCTGGAAATGTGCTAGCACTTGAGAAGAATTACCCAAAATACCAAGCTGTCTCCTGCATAATTTTGATCAGCAAGCCTAAATACATATTCATCCCTTAATTAACCAATATTAAATTGTAATGTCATTATATGCAAAGGTGTGGTTCTTAACAACAAGTAAAGTTTCTGTTAATCTAAGATGGTTAAATAGCAGTAACTCAGCTAAAAGTGACTATACGAACCCCAGCTTTGTAACTAGAACTTCTGCCAATAAATAGAACAGTTGAATCTTTGGCCTATTATAAAAAACAACCAAAGACAAGATAAAATGTAGAAAGGCTTCCTTCACTTATTTCATGTTGATTTTATCAGATTTTTTTTCAGAACCACAAGTAGTTACAATCACTATAAGAATGCCTAAAACAAAGCTTTCTCTGGTAGATTAATCATCTCAAAACAGAACTTGCAACATCTTACATTTCTTCCATGGATGTAATAAATAATAATATAATAATTACCAGTGTTGAGAAGGATAAAATGTGGATTACATCTGGGTTTTCTTTCTTACCAGGTCAAGTCAATGTTAACCCAAACAGGGTTTACTCAATAAAAGGAAGCTAATCAAAACTCCACTTAAATAGCGGTAACATTGGACAGAGTGCCATCTTTTACAGTTAGGATTGAAAATAAGATCTAAAACTCATGGAATGTGAGTATTTCTGGTCAAGAGAGGGGCAGGGTGCATATGCCTATTAGAAAAAGTGTTTGCCCACTACCTTTATGCTGATTGGCTCAAGTCAGCCAATTTGACAAGAATTAAGGGCTCAGACATACCTTCAAGTTAGGATAATTTAACAAGTTACTGCCTGTCACTGAATTGCAGTGGCTATCTGTTGGAAAATCCAAGGCAATGCAACTTATCTTGAAACGACTTCATTTT